TAAAAAATCCTCCGATTCAAAGAGCCTTTTATATCTAGTATTAATACATTTTATTGAGTTTGAAATTAAATTATAGCTCTACTGAAGACTTTGTAAATGTTTGGCTTTAGTATTTGATTTTTATACTGACAAGCATTTGATTTCAAGTGAAACTCCTCGATTTCTTTAAAATTGGTATGGTGATAGTTAATACCAAGTACAAACATAATATGGATGTCCCTGGACCTTAATTTGATAGGGTTGGCCGTAATGGTCAGTTATAAATGGACCGAAAGCTTACGGATTTCATCAAAAATAATTCATTAGATGTATGCAAAAATTGAGTGAAAAGTAAAGATTTATTCATTTTATNCCTTAATTTGATAGGGTTGGCCGTAATGGTCAGTTATAAATGGACCGAAAGCTTACGGATTTCATCAAAAATAATTCATTAGATGTATGCAAAAATTGAGTGAAAAGTAAAGATTTATTCATTTTATAACATTTTAAACATTCACAAAATGTTTGATAAATGTTTTTTCAATTAATAATCTATAATTTTTTTATCTCTTTTATAATTTTAGACTGAATAATGAGTATAAATTAATTGTGTATATGAATTGAAAATGAATTTAATTTGAATATATATATATATATATATAACATGCTAACTTCACTTAAAATGCATATCAGTTGTCCTGTTTTAGATTTGTATATAAAAACAGATAAACATTTGAATTTCAAACTTTAGATTTACTGTTATTTTTTAACAGATTAGTAGATTATTAATTGAAAAAACATTTATCAAACATTTTGTGAATGTTTAAAATGTTATAAAATGAATAAATCTTTACTTTTCACTCAATTTTTGCATACATCTAATGAATTATTTTTGATGAAATCCGNTAAAATGTTATAAAATGAATAAATCTTTACTTTTCACTCAATTTTTGCATACATCTAATGAATTATTTTTGATGAAATCCGTAAGCTTTCGGTCCATTTATAACTGACCATTACGGCCAACCCTATCAAATTAAGGACCTGGGACATTTATATTATGTTTGTACTTGGTATTAACTATCACCATGCCAATTTTAAAAGAAATCGGAGAGTTTCACTTGAAATCAAATGCTTGAGTTTGTTTAAAAGGTTTGTATTTATTATGAACTGAGGTATGAAGTCAATGAGAATATTCTGGTTCTTGTATGGAGTTATTGCATTGAAAATTAGATTATATTTTATGACAAACTTATAGGAAATAATTTATTATAGTAAAAGTAAAAAGCAATCTTATTGGCATAAAAACTTGCAAACATCTAAATAATACTAAATTAAAATTAATAGGTAACATCCATTTCTAATACAAATATAATTTAAATTAAAGTTTAGTTTAATTGGATAAAGAATTGAATTATAAATGGAAATTGATGTTTATTTCATCGGTTTTTTGAAAATCACTCAGGGTCATTTGCTGGACATACCTGACACTGACAGCGTACCGTTATGTCCAACTTTTATACCAGGGGTCTATTGGGGAAATTATTAGAGATCTAAACTTAGATAATTCACCTTAGATAATAAAAATCCGACGCGCTTTTTTGGACTCATCTTATGTACATATAGTACCTCATATAGGTGTGTTATAAACTTATTGAATGAGTAAGATAAAACTTAATTAAACAAAATTATTAATCTATCAAAAGTTTTTACACTTTTTTAAGTTATCACAATTTATACCTTATAAATCGTACCTGTTTGTTAAATATCTACCGTAAAATAAAATCACAATATGTAAATTTATTATTTAAACAAAATAATTACCAGTATCTAAATTATAACATTAATTATAAATGCTTTATTCATCAAACGAATAAACAAATTATTTTTAGAAATTTCCACTTAAAACTAGAATCTTTTATTAATAACGTTTATAATCAATAAATTTTACATACAATATAAATTATAACATTTATTTGATGTCGTGTAGACCACAAACCAGATTATTGGGAACCGCTATATCTATACAGTATTTAAGGCATGATAAATCAATTAATGAGTTAATTTTATAATCTAATTGACACACAAATAGTGTTTCAGTATATTTTTTAGGACCATACTTACCAATCATTTTAGGCAAATCCAGTTTAAGGTTAGCCATAATGTCTATGAACTCCTCCTTTGATTTGGTTAGCCGTGGATTAAATCGCTTTTCCTCGGACACAGTCGACACCAATTGTCCTGAAAAGTAAAATTTTATTTTTAAAAATAAATATAATTCTCAAATCATTTTAATAATGTTATTAAACAAACCCTTATAGTCATGAGCGGGAAGTACGGAAAAATTGTCGGGTAATGTAAATATCTTTTGATGTATGGACTCGTATAATAGGCCAGAATCACCTGGAACCAATCACAATGACAATAAATATAAAATTAATTTCACTATTAATTGTGCTGTAAATGACAATACCCTGTTGAAAGTCCGTACGCCCACACCCTCTTATAAGTAGGGCATCGCCAGTAAATACGAGTCCATTATCGGTGTCCACGTATGTCACACAACCAGATGTATGGCCTAATGGACAGTCAGTTAATGGGTTTAGAAATTTAATTAAAATCTAGCAATGAATGCAATACCAGGTGTGGCCACGACTTTCAATTTGATGGCCTCCCCGCAAGTGATCACATCGTTATCATCGACTTTGATGTCAGCCTTGGCTCCACTCAACTCCGAGATAATACTCTTGACAGTGGGTTGGGAGGGGTTGGCGTTAAGTCGGGTCTTAATAAGTCCGGAGCCCGTGATGTGGTCGGCGTGACAGTGAGTGTTGGCCACGTATTTCAACTGCAAATCAGTGCCATTATTAGCGTTTAAATGCCATTAAATAGCATTAAAAAAGTTAGTTATTTGCAAATCATTTACGTTAAGTCCGAGCTCTTGAACGGTCTGCAGATCCCTGTCCACGCACTCGAGCACCGGATCAATAAGGATGGCCTCTTTGGTCACCTTATCGGCCAATAGGTAGGTGTATGTGCACGATATTCTGTCAAATAGCTGGATGATTCAATAGTTTGAGTTAATTGTATGCACTTTTGGTTTTGGTTTAATCATTACCTGACGAAAGAGCACTCGTTTCCCAATTAGACTCATAACTGGTCTCAAAAGTAGTTGAGTTTTTTTGGTGGGCTGAAAAGTTTTTGAAACTAATTTATTTCAAGTGTTAAGTTATATAACTTATTGCATTCAAGTGTTATAACAATTATGTGTAAGTTTGTAGTTCAACGGCAATTATAAATTCATGATTTCAGTGGATGTGTTGAATGAGTGAAATATATTTGCTATTTAAAGGCAATCCCTGCCAGAGTTTCCCTGGTATTTGTATCCATCACGTACTACATTGAGATAATCAGGTTGTCGATGACATTGTAGTTAAATGAATACAAAGTGCACTAAAACTGCACTCAATTCAGGGGAACACTGTATTAAAGGTCGCAAATACTGTACAATACAATACACTATAATTTAATTTCAATGCATTGTTGCATAATTAATAATTATATCCAGTATTATATTTGTCAGGTATTATTCTAGATAAAAGTCTTATACTTATACAAAATGTCAATTTAATACAGTATTACCAGACAAGACAATAAGATGATTTAATACCTTGATAAGTTAATGGGATTCTCGGAAAACTCTATAGCTAAACATTTGAGTAAACATATTATGTAATGTTAAATAAACTACATATATAAATAACGGCAACTATCTAGATAAGTTATGATTTAGTGATATGATTAGGGTGTATTTGGTTATGTGATTAAAAATTAAATTTTTCTTTAATTAGTTTTTTATGAAAGTTTTGTGAAGTTTTAGAAAGTTTTTTGTTGCAAAAGTTTTTAGAACCAGATTAACCAGGTTAAGTTACAGTTAGTCTACTGATCTGTTTTAAATGATGAATACTTAATTAAAATTAAATATGAATAGGAATGGTGGTGTGGAAATGGACGTAGCGTTTTCATGTTACAGTATAATGTATGAATATTGGGTATTAATTAATCTAAACTAATTTAATTACTTTAAAAGTTAACTTTAGAAATTTAAATGCCACAAAAAAATTTGATTCAATCAATTGGAAAACTATTTTATATAAATCACTTACTATTGACTAGCATAGAGTTATGTAGCATAAAAAGGGCATAAATTGTATTCACCTAATGTTGTGAACAGAAAACACGTGTTTGTGTTGTGTATTGAACATTGACTGCAAATCATATCCAATTGAAAACCAAAACCGCATTTAATTGTCGTTAAAAGCTAATCATTAAATTAAACACAACTTTGGACTCAATTTATTAATACATCGGAACCAATGGGTCGACGGAAGCGAAAGGTATGTCAAACCACTGGAGCCTTAAATGGCCGCAAATGTGGTGATAATAAACTGATCTCTCGTTTTGTTTGACGGAAACCGCAGTCCAAGAAGGGGTCGAAAGGGGCCGAAGAGCCGGAAGCGCTGACCAAAGCTCCGCACAGTTTTGTCATCAAAAGGGGAAAAGTGGGCAAAAATGTGAACGAATTGATGGTCAACTTTCGCCAAGTGCTGGAACCGTTCACAGCGATGTCCCTGAAGATCAAGAGGTATAACGTGGTGAAGGACTTCGTGCACATCGCCTCGAGTCTGAATGTCACACATTTGGTGATCTTCACGAAGACCCCGAAGGCGGCGTACCTGAGGCTGTGTCGGGTGCCCAGAGGGCCGACACTCACCTTCAAAGTAGTCAACTATACGCTCACGAAAGACGTGCGATCGGCCCTCAAGAGGCCACTCGTCTACTCCGGTCTGTTCCAGTTGTCGCCACTACTGGTGCTCAACGGCTTCACCGGCGACGAGGAGTTGCGGATGAAACTGATGACATCGATGTGGAGGAATATGTTGCCCTCCATTGACGTGAATAAAGTCAATCTGAATACCATTAGGCGGTGTATTCTCTTGAACTACAACTCCGACACCCAATTGATTGACTTCAGACACTTCGCCATTAAAGTGAAACCCGTGGGTCTGTCGCGAACCGTACGGAAACTCATTTCCGGCAAAAAGATACCCGACTTCGGCAACTGTAACGACGTGACAGACATTATGGCGAACGACAACGCGTTCACCGAATCGGAGGGCGAGGCCGACGAAGTGGAGGCCAACCGACAGATAACGCTTCCGCAGAAAATCAGTTCCCGAGGAAATATGGTTAACGAGAAGAGTGCCATCAGGTCTGTCAGAGACACTATCTGATTATCATTGCTATTGTCTATAATTGAATGTCTTTTTGTGGTACAGATTGACAGAATTGGGTCCACGACTGACACTGGAACTGATGAAAATAGAAGACGGAATAATGGCCGGCGAAGTGCTGTTCCACTCATTGATTAAGAAGACTAAAGCCGAGGCACAGGAGCTGAAGGACAAACGCCAACAGAAGATCCATTTGAAGTATTCTCGGAAACGACAGCAAGAGTTGAATGTGAAGAGGAAACAGGAGGCGAGGAATAAGCAAAAGACTGGATCTAATAGTAGTGACGGACAGAGCATGGATGTGGACCCGGAGGCGGCGGCAGACAGTGATAGCAACGAATGAATTGAAATGAAAGTTAATTTTGAAAACATATTATTTTATAATTAATTTCATAATCAATGCATTATTTTATTAATTGACTTGTGATGTGATCTGTTTTGTTATGGAAATCGTATTCATTATGACAAACAAATTCATTAAATAATTATAATAATTGACTTCAAAAAAAGTAAATGTCAATTAAATTGTGTAATTATAAGCCGATTATTGCTTTTTATCATTTGAATGAAAGGGTTATTTTAAGCGCTATGTTACGTAATGTGTGTGAATGTATGCAAAGTGCAGCTGTTTGTATAGCAGTTTGCAATTATCAATAGGTTTTCAATGTCCATTCCCACTTTGTGCAGTGCACTAAATTTATTGATACCTTTTCCTGTGAAGCTCAAGCATACCATAACAAACACACACACAATGTATTGCAGAGAAGTGAACTCTTATGTTGAAGGCGTGAACATACGTGTGAATCGGACACTGGAAATGGTGTGTTGTTTGTGAGCATTAGTTTGCGTGTGTTTTGCATGAATACAGTGTTCACTGATATTTGAAACACATCTCAAACACCACTCAATGAAGGCGTGAACATACGTGTGAATCGGACACTGGAAATGGTGTGTTGTTTGTGAGCATTAGTTTGCGTGTGTTTTGCATGAATACAGTGTTCACTGATTTTTGAAACACATCTCAAACACCACTCAACCACTCATTCACTGAATGCGTATTCAAGGCATCAGTCGTTGAGAAACCAATCATTAAGTGATTAATTAAAGCATACATTCATTGTCACCGCAATCACCGCAACCTCTTGTGTCCACACCATTGCTCACCCATTCATCGCACGCTGAACGCCACCAGAGGCTGACATCTGCCACAACACCCACTGACACATCACCGCCACAGAGACGACCTCCAGATATCATATATAGTCTACTGATCGGCACACGTAACCAATTATGACGAGACCGCCGACTCATGAGGACACGACTGTCCGCACGACACCACCCGCCCAGACGGTGGTCGACATATCGCGTCTCTTTGACAACAATCGGTATTATTGAGCGACCAATGGATCAAACCGTTGGATCCGATGTTATTGTTAACCCATTCACTAATGCATTCATTGGTTATGACTTAGTATTGACCAGAACTTGGATTTATTGCCATTCGTGTGGATCTTAATGTACTTCCCGTTCGGGTTGTGTCTCTTCACTGTCCGTCTGTTCATTGGTTTACACGCTCTGCTCATCGCATCGGTTCTGCCCAAGAAGTCGTCCATCAGATGGTATGATACGCTCGCAGACACCGCCCGTCCCGCGACTGTCCAACTAATGCATGATTTTTGTCTTAATATACGTTTTCTTAACCATTGATTCAGTTTTAGTTCAATTTAATGACTATCTGTGTGTCAATCAAAGCCACAGTTTTTTTGTTTGATTTGATGTCTAGTTTTTGTGCTGTTTTTGAGTCGAAATATGTTTTCTTTTTATTTCTTTAATTAGTTTTGTTTTTCTTTGCGAAACGTTTTATCGTTGAGTCACTAGTAATTCAATACTAATTTATTGTCGTTTCTAATGTAAAAGTCATGATTTGGTGATTATCCCAATGTTTTCATTCATTTTGTGCTACATTTGCCGCAAAGTCTAATGAAACTGTATTTGAATGTCTTATTTGTGTGAATAGTTTTATTTTGCGGACAATGTGTGCGGTGTTGGGGATTGTCATCAAAGAGGAGAACGCGTCCATTGATGTGAAATCCAAGACACGACTCATAGTCAGCAATCACATAACGAAGATAGACCACTTGGCCGTCGATCTGGTGATGCCGTGCATTGTTCCCGGAGTCTGGGATTTGCCGAAACTCCTCAACTGGGGCTTAGGTTTCCACGACTTCGGCGTCAAACAGGGCCGGGATGTGCTCATCGAGAACGTCAAACTGCACCTCAGCTCCGAACGGAAAGACATTCCGCTGCTGTCCTACCCGGAGGGCGCCACCACTAACGGCCGGGTGGGTCTCCTCAAGTTCAGCAGTTGGCTGTTCACACTGGACGCCAAAATACAACCCATTTATATAAGCGTGTGGAGGCCGGCGCCCATCAACGTGTCGGTATCCGTAGTGGACAGTCGCTGGTGGTCTGACCTCTTCTGGTTCTTATTCGTTCCCTTCTCTGTCTTCACAATCAAGTAATTCCAAGAGTTTTCTGGTTTTTGTTGTAAGCATTGGATGGGATGTAATGTTTTGTTTTTGTTTTCAACAGATATTTATCGGTCGTTGAGAAGAATTACGGCGAATCTGCCGAAGATTTTGCCAAAAGAGTGCAGACATTGATGGCCACAGAGATGAGAGTCTGTGCCACGAGTTATACGAATGCAGACAAAGTAGAGTACATGAAAAGGCTGTTACAGACGACACATCCGCGAACTGTTGCCCAAAATGCCGCAAATAACAGACAAAGTACGCCGAGAATAAGAGCGGCTAACAGTCCGTCGAGTCCATCGATGGCCACGAGAGCGTCGGCGGCCGTCGAGACAATGGCGCTCAGAGTGAAGGAGGTGTTACCTCAAGTGCCCATAAGTGTCATCCAGAAAGACATTAAAGTGACGACAAATGTGGACGAGACGATCACTCGTCTGTTAGACGGGACAGTGAAATATGTGGAGGAAAAGCCGGCGCCCCCTCCAGAAGCACAATCGTCTACCGGTGCCCAGTCGTCGTCCGGGGCGTCGACACCTAATAATAGTTACATATCGACCGAAAGTATGAAACCTTTCTATTGCGGGTCGAAGACGTTCGGGAAGAACGCCTCCGAGCGAACCAAGTCTTATAAGGAGCGCAAAGAAGCGCTCCTACAGACCGCTCGGCACAGGTATCTCGAAAGGCGTGGCTTGAATGCCGGCGCCGACAAATGAGACAATTTTTTCAGTGTATATAATAAGGACTTACAAAATGATATAACAAATAATAACGAATCTTTTGATTACTTTTTATCTTTCGATAAGTTTTTCGCTCAAAAATCGCGTATTTTTCCCCTTAAAATAGATTCGCATTTATAATGACTTGAGTTTCATGTCAATTTATGAGAGTTTAGTTTTAAATGTTAATTTTAATGTTCAAAGCAAACGACAATTTTATTGGAATTTATTGTCGGATTTATTTTCTACTAAATTTAATAATTTATTTGTTTGAAAAACAAATTTTTAATGTTTTCCCCATTAGATATTTGGTTATATTGACTACTGTATAGTAATGGCTAATTATTATGTTTTTGTATTAAATTCTTGGACATATAAAATCATTACCTATGATTTCTCTCTAAACAAATGAATAAATTATAAATTAAATTATTTTTCATAACACTTATTGTTTGATTTCCAGTAATTGTATGTTTGGAGTGGGATGGGAACCTTAGAGGTATTGTACTCTATTTGTTTGCGATGGTCTATGGCTACAAATGGCTTATTTTAGTAGTTAACTAACTTAAATGAATTTAAATGAGTGTTATATTTGGCTATAACTGTGGTGAACAACAAATTGTAACAAAATTGTATTCAATTGCCAAACATAGAGAGTGTGTCTAACGAATGCAAAGGAAGGCCTACTCTCCTCAATCCCATCCCTCCCTTCTCTTTCTCATCACTTTATTCGCCAAATGATGTCGTGTTTAGATGTTTTGGGCACAAAAGTCCAGACATTTGTGTTAGAGATGTGTATAAAACCATCGCTGGATGTGATCAAAGGGAACAAATGATTGATTAAAATTGTTTTACGAGACAAACAATTAACACCTGAAA